TCTTTCTGGGAGAGGGCTGGATGAAAACTTCTATCCCAGTTTCTTTTGAAACCATAAAAAGCAAGTTTCTTTTGAAATGTAAGCCAGAAAATTCTGCAGCTGGCATAAACAATTACAACTTAAAGTGTCCATCAGAATTGGGACAACAGTGACAGTAGCTCAATCTAGAGTGGTATGGTGACCTAGAGGTGGAGCTCTCGACTTACAGCCAGGAGGCTGTGAGTTCGGTCCTAGGTAGAGGCAAATATTTCTCTCTGGGCACACTGAGAATATATCTCGGGGAAAACTCCGCATTGGCAACAGGAAAGGCATCTGGCCAGTAAAACACTCAGCTCTATTCAGTTGTCCAAATTCCTCCCTGCAAGGAATTAGGGTGTCGTTAAGATGATGATGAGTTAAAGTCGCTCAATGAGAGCTTAATTGCTTGATTTGAATGCAAAAAATTGCCAGTCTGGCTTCCACCAATATAAGTGAGAAAGACCCCTTTTTGAAATCTTGGAAAAATCCTGCCAATCAAGGGCAGTGTGCATGTACTGAGAGAGCCAGCATTGTCCAAATACATTTTCCATGGTCATGTGGCCAGAATGCCTATATGCCAAAGGCTAACAAAATACTGTAACCTTCCCACCGAAGTGGTACCTATTTATCTACTTGCATTTGCATGCCTTTGAACTGCCAGGTGGATAGGAGCTGGGGCAAATAACAGGAATTCACCCTGTTGCACAGAATTCAGATCTCAAACTCAGGCTGTCTGATCTCCAGCTGACAAGTTGAGCATCTTTAATTGCTGAGCCGTCGCACATCTACTTGATAAAGGTTCTCCTCGCATATATGTGCTACTCGTTCCCGACTCTAGGAGGCGGTGTTCATCTCATTTCAAAGCCAAAGAGCCAGTGCTGTCCAAAGACATCTCCGTGGTCATGTGGCCAGCATGACTCAACGCCGAAGGCACATGGAGCACTGTTACCTTCCCACCAAAGGTGGTTCCTATTTTTCTACTTGCATTTTTACATGTTTTCGAACTGCTAGGTTGGCAGAAGCTGGGACAAATCACGGGAGCTCACTCCGTTATGCGGTGCTAGGGATTCGAACCACTGGCCTTTCTGATAAACAAGCTCAGCATCTTAGCCACCGAGTCACCGTGATAACACCCCATAAAAAAGCAAATTTGCAAATGTTTGTGGAAAGACTTTACTCTTTAATGTTTTTACAGAACTGACTTTTTTTCCCTTCTTGTCTAACTCATGCTTCCCAAAGAAATAATAAAATGGAAAATAAAATCATCTTCTTGTAACTGACTTACCATAATATGAAGTTTTGCGTTTCCTTTCTGGATAATGAAGGTGCCACCCATTCCCATTGTTTTGTCACCATAATGCTTATCTAAGGCTTTCCGTATGCAGGATATGAAATTCTGCTCTCCTGTTCTTTTCTTCACTCTCACTTCAACGACCTTAAAGAAAGGAGACAGGTTAATATGGTCATGTTAATCAGAGAAAATTCTGTGCAGTAATTTGCAGTTGAAATTTTCCTTTTAATCTAGTTCCACTGTAAACAAAATGTTTGTGAATTCTTGGCATCGAATATGCTCCCTATATTCAATCCTTATTTTTAATGTTATTTTTTTTTTTAAATGGCATCTTTTTTATGTCTGAAAACAGCATCTAGGTGTTAAATAGTCTGTTAGCATTCTTGGAAGATATAAAGGACAGCGTTTCAAGGTGCTAGTCGTCACTTATAAAGCCCTTCATGGTATTGGACCTGGGTACTTGAGAGACCGCCTGCTGCCAATTCCTCCAACAGACCTATTAGATCCCACAGACTAGGCCTCCTCTGAATTCCATCTACTGGTCAATGCCGATTGGCTACCACCCAGAGGAGGGCCTTCTCTGTGGCTGCTCCAGCCCTCTGGAACGAGCTCCCCGTGGAGATTCGGACCATCACCACCCTTCAGGCTTTCCGCAAAGCCCTTAAAACCTGGCTGTTCCGACAGACCTGGGGCTGACGAGTTCCCCGCCCCCACTCGAATTGTGTGGTTGAGTGTTTTTAAATTGTTGTAGTTGTTTGTCCGTTGTCTTTCCTCCTGTTTGTATTCCCCCCCCCCCCTTCCTTGGTTTGTGAGCCGCCCTGAGTCCCTCTGGGAATAGGGCGGCATAGAAATGCAATAAATCAAATCAAATCAAATCAGGGCCTTGAATCTATAGTATCCTTGAATCTACATTCCTGTATTGCTTACTAGCTGTAAACATATGTACCGTATTTTTTGGAGTAGAAGATGCTCCAAAGTGGAAGACACACCTAGCTTTTGGGGAGGAAAACAAGAAAAACAAATCTGCCTCTGCCTCCCAGCAATTTGCCTCCTTGCAGCAAACAGCCGGTTTCTGTTTCAGCACAGCCTGATTAGCACAAGCAGCTGATTGTTGGGATGGCAATCAGCTGTTTCAGGCTGCAGGGATTGCTATAGCTTATTGTAGCCTTCATACACCGTTTTTAGCCTCCGCGTGTTCCATTTCCCGCCTATTTTGGGTGGCGGGGATTGGATTGGGAGGAAAATGGGGCACGTGGAGGCTGAAAATGGGGCGTGCAGAGGTGGCAATAGGCAATCCCTGCAGCCTGAAATAAGTGGTTGGTTGGCCAATCCAACCGACAATCAGCTGCTTGTGCTAATCAGGCTGTGTTGAAGCTGAAACTGAAACAGGCTGTTTGCTGCAAGGAGGGAGAGGCCAAAGGTTGGGGGCCGGCGGGTGGTCGGGGCTGCATTCGGTGTATAAGATGCACCCAAATTTTCATCCTCTTTTAAGGGGGGCGGGGAAGTGCATCTTATATTCTGAAAAATATTGGTATTTACACCATACTGTCCATGGGTAAGATGTGCAGCTGTCAATAAAATGAAGCGAAGCAAAGCATGTTTACATGTAGAAGTTGGCTTGTTTGGGCTTGTTAGCTTTTGAAATTTTCTCTCTTTTAATTGGTTTGTTTTAAATTTATTTTGTTCCCTGGATGTATTTCTTTTCAAAAAGCCATTTCAAAAAGCTGATTGAGCCACATACCTTACCGGGAAGACCTTCACTCGCATATAGGTTTGCCAGGAGCCCAAATTCACAATCGTCATGGAGGGAGCTGTATTTTTGGAGAAGACAGCTGCCATCCTCAGGATTGATCTTGGCTAGGTAACTTCCATTGATGGCTGCTTTTTCTCCCTTTTCAGCTTGGACAATTGGGATGAACTAGAATAGAAACAGATGAACATCTTCCAATAGATCAGCATGGACTACCGTCACTTCACAATCATTAAAGCAAGCAGCACATTTTGTTTGTAGCTTAACTAGCTGATAATCCGGTGTTGCCCAGGTGTTTATTTATCCTAAACCTGCATTAGACAGGAAAAGCCCTGATTTTGGCGACAATTGATTAGTTACAAATGTGCCCCCAGAAGCCATACATTTGTCCTCAAAAATAATTCAAAGCCTTGTTGAAAATGCCAGGACCAAACGTAATTTCTAATGTTGGATTTCCCCCCTTACCAGAGGGAACCCCCTTGTGGAGTACTGTAAAGCCGTTACCATGGCAACTCCACTAGGCTGTACAGTAGAAGCCATTTTACGGCAGTACGGTAGAAGCCATTGTAAGGCGCAACAGTACGGAATTCTGGGAGTTGAAGTTCACAAGTCTTTATGTTGCTGAGGTTGGGCAGTCTACACTCCAGGTAAACATGGAGGGTAATATTTTCTTACCCATTCTCTTACCTCAGCATTGCTTCCAACTACTCTGGAGGAAACAGCTCCAGCACCAAGGAAAAATGCTCCGGGTAACTGTATTTCTTTCGCTATTATGTTCAGGTCATAAACCTAAATGAGAAAAGAATGGTTAAATTTGTTCATTTGCATGTTATCCAGAGCAAGGGTCTCCAAACTTGGCAACTTTAAGATTTGTGGAGTTCAACTCCCAGAATTCCTCAGCCAGCAAAAGAGGAATTCTGGGAGTTGAAGTCATAAGTCTTAAAGTTGCCACGGTTGGAGACCCCTGGAGTATTCCTAGCCTTCCCCGAGACTCCCTCTCAGGTGTCTTTAAATGTAAAGTTTAAAAAATTTAAATTAATTGCCATTCTATGTTGAAAAAGAATACAATATTAAAATCTCATCCAACGACCATGAGAAGTGGCAGTGAATGCATCCAATTTTTAATATGGTAAATATAAACATAACCCATACAAACAAAAGCTTTTTTTTGAGTCCTCCATAATTTTTAAAAGCGGGAAGAGATCCATGTTTTGTTTTTGTCAAAAACCAATATTTACCATACTTCTGGTTTCCAGCAAAAGAAAATATAAACACCTTATAGAAAATAATGGGTTTGCTTAATAACTGCAGTGTTCAGTTTATGACCGCCCCCAAAAAAGGCTGTAAAATCAATCAAGCTGACAAGGTGACTCACTTTATAACCATCGTGACGTACAACTGAAATTGCAATCTCAGTTATGGTTGTAATCTTGATTACAAGATTAAGAGCTATGGTGGCACAGTGGTTAGAATGCAGTTCTAATAGCAGGCTACTTCTACTGTCTGCCGACTGCCAGCAGTTCGATCTTGATGGATTGAAGGTTGATCCAGCCTTCAGTAAAACGAGGACCCAGATTGTTGGGGGCAATATGCTGACTCTGCAAACCACTTAGAGAGGGCTGGAAAGCACAGTGAAGTAGTATATAAGTCTAAGTGCCATTGTTATTGCTGATAGTGTGAATTCAAATAACGTAACCATTTTGTGGGATTCATTAACTACTAATCAAAACCTACCTGCATTTTTAAAATTGCAAAATTAGGATCTGAACCAAATCTCTTTGAAAGGATTTTTAAAAGGTAACCAATTAACACATGTGCGAAACGTGAGAATGGACTAGTCTGACTTTACTAGGATCACTGCAATATTAGTGTTTTCCCCAAAATAAGACAGGGTCTTATTTATTTATTTTTTTGAGGTGCAGGAGGCGGCGAGCATAGTCACCTCATGGCTGCTGCTGTGTGCAATATTTTCGGGGAGGGCTTATTTTAGTGCATGCGCTCAAAAGCCCAGTGGAGCTTATTATCCGGGGAGGTCTTATTTTCAGGGAAACAGGGTAGCAAAAATGATTTGATTCCATCCACTCCAGCCTCCCAAAAATGGGAATTGTTGTTTCTGTTCAAAATGAGAAGTTATTGGATGAAAGACTACCTTTTACACATGGTTGCAAGTATATTAAATTTTAATTACCTTGTCTTTCTGTACAAGCGGTAAAAGGTATGGAACACCTCCCACATCTGCAATTCTAGGCTTGCCACAAATACCTGTAAAAAGGAAAAAAAATGGGCAAATTTATTGTTTTCCAGGTTTTTTTTTACTAACCCAAAACAATATAAAAGCAATCACAGTTTAGTAGACCCCCAAAACCAATTATTGTGATTTGTATGATGAACCAGACAATGGTGGTTTGTATAACCAACTATAGCTAAAACAAACCATCACTTAGCATAGCATCCTTCCGACTTATAGGATTTTTTTTTTTTTAAAAAGGAGCATTCAGTATTTTATGGTATGCGACAAGGGCTTTTAGCCTGGATAATCCAATCTTGAAAAGGCTTAAGAAAATCTACTCCATTCTTTAAAGAAAATCTATTCTGCCAAAAATAATCCTGGCAATTTTGCCTTTTCTACCTGGTGGCCCACATGTTACCAAGATATTGCCAATATTCCGTCACAGATACTACGTGTTACCTTTAACAGGAAAACAGAAGGGTTCTTTAGTCATATCAGGACAATCCACCACGGATACCTGGACATCTGCAAAATTTTCTTGAAGTCCATTCTGTAGAACTGGAAGGAAAATAGATGATTTCAAAGAAAATTGAAGAATGCAATATAGCAATAGCACTTAAAGACTTATATACTGCTTCACAGGGCTTTTACAGCCCCCTCTAAGCAGTTTACAGAGTCATCATATTGCCCTCAACAATCTGGGTCCTCATTTTATCAGCCTCGGAAGGATGGAAGGCTGAGTCAACCTTGAGCCGGT